AGTTGCAGCAAAACGTGCACTTTTATTGTTTTCATGTAAACAATTTGATGTTTTGGTCAATATTTAAGACGATTTGTCGTTTTTGGAACAACTACTTTGAAAATATGTGATTTGGTGACATATTATGTAAATACTTTGAAAATTAAGGCTCTATTTGTTATTTTTTTATAATTTTAAAACATAATTATAATACACTCATATTTTCTTTCTTTTCTAAATACTTGATTTTGAGTGTTGTTTTTTTTTATCTTTTAGTTAAACTATTTAATATCTATGTATTGGATTTGTATTGTTTCAAATATTTTTCCTTAATATATTTTTAACTTTTGATATTTTTTGTTTTATGTTTCCAAAATATTTTCTTTTCCTATTTTTTGGAAAACTCGTTTCTACGTTTTCTAACGTTTCGCTTCCGCATATCCGTTTCCGATTCCATGTAGCTTAGACAAAAACTCTGTCAAAAACAAACTCTCTTAACTCCTACAATACATATATGTTAATGTTAGATTCAACATTCTCCTTAACCATGCACACATTAGATTCATATAAAGATTTTTTAAAATTATTGGAGTTTCGGATTTTTGATCCATAATTTCGATGCCTAGAATCAGCTGTTGATAATATCACGTTTAAGATGTAAATCACATTTCCCAAATAGAGTTGAACTAATGACTTTAAAAACTCTTTTTCAAATCCCAAACCACTAGATCATCAACCAGTGGCAAATCTAGAGCATGAAGAGTAGGGACACTTGCCCACCATGGTTTAGTTAATGTTTTTCAATTTTTTTAAGTAATTGATATTTATTAGTTTAATGCCCTAAATAATTTTTAAAAAATGAGCTTAATGCCCCCCATAAAAAACATTTTTGCATTCGCCACTGTAACCAACCACTTATTAGATTCAATATTTGATATCACCAAAAGCTTAAATCAAAAATTATATATAACCAAATGGCGCGGCGCGACACATAACATAATTTATCAGCACTGTTATTTTGGCTGTGGAAACATTAATTTGGTTATTTATTCTGTAATTATTACCATATCAGTTGAAATAGTGTATTATTTGTTTAAGCAATATACGTGTGATTTACACCATAACATGTTACACATACACACCAAAAACTAAAATCGTCTCTGCTTCTCAATCTTATACATGCTTCTTCCACATACTTACGCTTCTTCCGCGCGCATACTTATTTGACAGATTTTAGAAATTTTTTCCTCGTGCCGATTCTAAATCCAAATAAGTTATGTTTGAACTTGCTCTTTTTTCTTGTTGAAACTTTTGCGGTTTTAATATTGAAATATATGTTATCGGCCGCCAATTTCACAAAACTTTTTATTAGTGTAGTAGTAAAAACACTTACATATGATTTTAAAGTCAGGAATTCAGACTTTTTTTAATTGGGAGTTTTTTTGTCGAATATTCTTATTTAATAAGTCTATTTTTCCTTGTAGCATTTATAATTTCAGAGCTTACGAACTAAGATTAGTACTGTTGATATCATTCTCCTTTTTGATATATAAGATAAAGGTGAAATTATCATTAACTATCGTTTTTGTCACTTATCTCTCATACTATTTTTTTCTATTTTTGTTAGAAATGTTAGTGATTTCTTTCCTTGCATTTTCCCAAACTTTAAAAGGGTCGAAGTAGATGGGGGCCATCACCAACTTAAGCGTCGGGTCTAATCCAGTCAGATGCTTAGTCAGACATGTGACTAAAACCAAGTC